GAGATGCGACTAGTTTTTAATACACATAATTATAATTATTATAATTTAGACTAATCAAACATTAAATAATCTCACAGGTGCAACAACACTACCTATCACCTTAGTCATTAAGCATGATGGTAAAACATGTCTCATAATCTGTTTCATATATAAAACACATGTACTAATTATTTATTTCGCAGGTTATAAACAAATACAAAATCTCACACCCACATAGTATTTCTCATAAGGCATGCTTGTTGAGTCTATTACAAATATATATTATATATTAACCTGCCATAATAATCTTTCATAAATATAATACACAACCCAACAATTAGTCATACTGACACTCAACCTGAGTGATATCATACTAACGTTGCACAAGACTCAATCAACTGAACAGTAGACTGGTCTGCATCCTTCTCTATAGTACCTCAAAAGAAGAAGCTGTAGGGGTGTGAGCTAAACCACGCATTCAGTGAGTATACATGTTTTATATGAAATGAAAATGATAGTAATACACTAAAGTAGGTAGATACTACATAGATACACGTATCAAACAACAACATCAATCCAATTCCAGAGAATTCACAAGCCACATCACATTCATACTACCCCTCATCGGGTAATCGATCCCACATGGATTTGTGTCTCCTGAACCTCCTGGAAACATCACAGTGCTAGCACACCACTGCACGCCCAGTGATCAGGCATCGACACCCCTGTCTCAAACAGTGCGCCACATTCCACAATACACAATATACAGTACAAAAGCATCATTCAATCACATAGGCAAGTAACACATAATTCAGGAGAAATGCTATTAAATTCTATCATTTACTATCATCTTATAATAGTATTTTCAAAACATATAAAGATATACACCCACCTCAAATGTACAAATTTATGGCCCTTCGGTCTTATCGGTGGATCATTTCAGTGTCACTGTATTTGTTCCAATACCGACTGTCTCACTCGTTCCACCTAACACATTTTTAATTACAATATCAATATATTTATTACATTTAATAGTTAATGATGCACTTCAAAGTGCCCCGGTGACCCCGGTTACCGCACTATCTACTCACACATTAGCACTTTTGTTTTAGGGATCAAATTTCTTCCTCAAATTCTCAAAATCACTCACATTAATCACAAGTAGGTCAAACATATTGATCGGGGGCCCATTTTCACACATTTTGATCCTAAATCCTAAAAACTGCACTTCTGACATTTCATACATTTCGCTTCGGATATTATATTTATTTGCATTCAAAAGTCACATTATCACATCAAGCATCATTTAAAAATGATGTATGCAAAATTTCAGGTCATTTAGATTAAAACTCACACATGTGACAAACACACTTAAAAATCAGGGTTTCGGCGTTACCGAGACCTGTTTTTCACTTCTATTGCACTTTTTATTTAAAACCGTCACACTTAAATTCACATACACATTTAATCAATGCAAAATAGCCCCTAATTGGCCCTTTAAACCACCCATTTCATTCTCATAATTTTTGTTTTCAACCTAACTCTCGAAAAACATACCAAACATTTCAAATAGCAATTTTTCACATTTTTCTCACCTTTAGTTTAATACACATTTGAAACCTATTTTTTAACAGTCCGTTAATTATGCTAAATATATTTAATTACACCCAAAATCAGCCCATGAAATTTAAATTAAAACAACCTATTATTTTAACCAAAATAGTTCATGAATTAAATTAAAATAGTCACTAATTTAACACGTGTTAAAACAGTCCACACATGTACAATGACATATATACCAAAATTAATCACAATTCATGCGTAAATTGAGTTTCACGTATCTTCCTTGTTCACGGTTCGAATGCACACACACTTATTTTTTTTTCTTTCTTTCTCTCTCGCTCGCGGTTCTCTTCTCTTTATTTTTTTTTCTCTTGCTCACCTCACTCACTCACTCTCGGCTTCGGTACACACACACTTTTTTTATATTTTACTAACACACATACACACTTTACACCTTTAAACGCACACACGCATACACACGGCACATTTTTTTTCTTCTTTTTTTTTAAACCAACACGTGTAAAGGTGAGTTATTAAACTGAATAATTATATTTACCTCTTCTCAAGTTGTTAAATAATTTTGAAATTGAACCACTAATATTTTTATATATGAAATTCCTATAAATGGATCTCACGAATATATCATTAACGGGATCCACATACCCAATTCATGCTCACTCACATCATGCTTATGAAAGATTTAATTTAAGTAACTCCTTTAATAATTTTAAATAATTATAATTTAACCCACAAAATTATATTAATATGCATGCAATACATGATTGAGTCTCACAAAACTACATCACTTAATATATTTTTAGGTCAATTTTTTTACATCTCAAAAGTATTATTCAAGTACAATGATACTTATATTTTAGTGGGGGCAAATTTTAAAAAATCTTATAATTTTTAAAATTTCAAACATACAGTATAGGCGAGCTTTGTGGCTCTGTTAGGTAGGTCTAATTAATAAATTAATTGAGTACGAGTGAAATGAATAAAAAAAAATACACCATATGACTCTTTTTTTTTGCTTGTGTGATATGACTTATTTATATACTAGTTAGTGTGCTCACGTACATTGTATGTGGACCATTTTAAATTATAATTTTTATTTTTTACCCACCTTATATCTATATTTATAGTTTTATGTATGCATAAAATAAGTGTGAAATTAAGAAATTAAGAGGCAAAATATAAAAAAAAGGCATCAGGTACATTGGGTTAGGAAGAAAAAAATAATGGAAAGTGAAAATGATAAAAAGTAAAGTGAAAAAAAAAATGATAGAAAATATATTTTCGTGCATGTATTTAGTTAGAATGAAAAAGTTTTAAAAAAATTTCATTCTATTATTTAAAAGAAAATAAAGTTATAAGAAATTTTTTATAATTGTCTAAATTACCTTTAATTATATTAAATCGGTCTAAAAAAATGTAATTATAATTAGAAGTTAATTTTTTTTTAAAAGTGGTTTGAAACATAATTCTAAGACGATCACCAACAGAAAGGTCTTTGAGCCAAATTATATGATTAATCAAATTCATACAAAAAAATTTTAAAATTAATAACCAATAAAATATTTTTTTTTTAAAAATAAGGGATAAAATGGAAAGTTAGTTATAGATCACAACTTTTTTGCATTTTCTTGTGTGTTTTACAAGAAAAAAAGTTAATTATTCGTGAGAAAATTCAAGTATGAAAAAAAAATTATGTTTTCTATTATTTTCGTTTTCATGCTAACCAAACACATGAAAATTTTTAAAAAATTATCTTACTTGATTTGATTACTTATTGGTTGTTTATAATATTTATATATCAAATATTTTGTTTCTATCATAGTTGTGGTGGTACTTACTTGAATTCTTATCAAGAATATAGAGTTTCTCAGCTACTATTACCTTTGGATTGAAAAAAAATTATAGTCTTACAGTAAATATTTGACAATTGAAGACCAAAAAATGGATTAAACTCAATAAAAGTGAATAAAAATATAATTAGCGAGTAGAGTTTACGTATAATTGCAAAAAATAATCTTAGGCATCAAGACCATGGAAAATCAAAATTTTAAATTAAAATTGAGAAGTAAATAAATAAATGAAAATGAATATAAAACAATGAATAATACACATCACATTCTCTTAAATCCTAGAGTACATTCAGATAAAACTGTCAAAGCAGTAATTGATAATAAGATAACATAAAGTGAAACTAAGCACTAATACAAAAAAAGAATTACATAAACAATCAAGAATTGTTGCACTTTGAACTTATTATCTTCAATATCGTTTACAAATTCTACTTTCATAAAATTCATGATAACTTGCAAAGCTCAAAAAAAAAAAGAAGCAAAACACAAAAATGGAGGGAGCTACGGAAGTTGAAGAGAAGAGCAAAAATATCAATAACTTCTATTATTGAAAGAGAGAAGAAAATGAGAATTTGGAAGGAGGGCTTGTTATTCTTATATTATTTTTTAATTTTCTCTAATGTTATGAATATGAAAAGTTTTCCTATGGATAATACTATGTATTCATTGCACTTGTAATTACAAATATTAATTCTTAGAAAGAGAAGGGTGTATTAGTTAAACTGGTAAGTAGAATATAATTATTTTTATTCTTTATATGATTAAGTAGAAATAGAATATGAAATCAAAAAATTTTCTCATTAGCTTCCTTTTATTAGTATATACAATTTATATACAATACAAACTCGATATAATATAATTGATTAGACATATATTAATAAATAAATTAATTATGAGTGAAATGTTTCTTAAGAAAAACCTGTTAAAATTCGATACGAACGCAAGTAATTCAGTACAATTGAGATCCCTAATTATAGTAGATTTACAGATTCCCGATCACATATCCATAGGCTGGTTCCTTCATTGATTTTCACAAAGAAGCAGGGTTTTTACGTAAACCAACTAAACATAAGGGGCTCATATGGTAATTTAGTTCGGGTTCATTACCAAGTTTGCCCTTCTGAACCCCGTGGGCATCTGCCCTGCGAGAGTGTAACACTCGTCTCTTTCTCTCTCCACTCGACTCGTTTCACCCATCACAGCTGAAAAAGGCCCCAAACTCCCCCCCCCCCCCCCATACACAAAAAAAAAAA